ACCTATGCCCTTGTCGTAGATAGCATCCAAAGAGGGAGATTGCCTGCATGATAGTTGGGTCAAGCAATGGGCCTAAACGCAGCCACTTGCAAAGACCAACCATGTGGTGTTGTGGGAACCAGTGCCGCTGCAGCAAAAAATCAGCCATGGCATGGTACAACGGCTTGAGTAGTTTGGGCGAGAAGAACCGTTGCGTTTGCGAGTAGTAGAAAAGACTCAGTGAAAATGTGTTGAAATAGATGATCTTCATGTGGATGCTGAGGTTGGCCCGCTTGGCAGCAGCAAGCCTCATACGGAATTTAGCCAGCTGTTTTGCCAGCAAAGTGACGAGAGATGTTTGTAACTGTACTTTGACCATGGTCTCATTCATCAATTGGCATGTCCACCCGGTGTGGATCGTTAGACCTAGATTGACAGTTGTAGGTACAATGCACTGACCGCCTAAGCCAGCTTGGTCCAGGCAATATAGTTGCTCTGCAGAATAACTGGCATTCGTGAGCAGTTGCGTTTTGGATCGACATTGGCATGGACTAGCTGCTAAACGGCAAAGCATGGGGTGCCCTTCAGTGACTAGTCTAGGAATGGCATCTGAGGCCATGTGCATGCAGTGGTCACCGTGTCTAAGGACAAAGCGACGTGCATAACCAGGGACATGTTGAAGCGCTGCACTGCAAGTGGCCTGTCCTAATTCATGAATGGGGGTTACATAGCTCCAGACATCTTCAACTTTGTACAGCGTATCTTCGTCAAGTGCTCTGCTGGAGAATCCTACTTGCCAGCAGTGATGCGTGTCCATGACAATTCCAGCAGTTTTCCATTTCTTAATATACTGAAAGACTTCTTGAATCCATCTCGAGTCCGTCTGCCGACCAACTATCGTAGTGTCATCAACATAACCTGCCACAACAATAACCCGTGGAATTTGATTGAGTACAACAAATATTGGGTCCATGGCAAGGCAGAAGAAGTAAACAGATGTGGATCGTCCCATATCAACTCCAGAGTGCACATTTCTTGCAGGTAATAGACGCCCTTGTACTTTATGTCTGATTCTTCTGCCAAACAGTAGATAACGCATAACCCGTCCAGTCCAAACAATGCTGACAGCTGTCGACAGAAGCCAGTCGTCACAGGGAAGAGAACTGCTCAGACCTGACAGAGCCGACAATCCTGTGGCTGGAATGGAGGATAAGCTAACCAACAGCGGAGCACGGCAAGCAAGATGCGCAAGCACTAAGCAACCTCTTCTCGCCATTCGCAATGCTGTGAGCCAATAGGAGTGAGAGCCTTGGCTCTTCGTTCCTAACAGGCGGGTGGTAGAGAGTGGCAATGGAGGATGCCCAGGGGGAACCTTAGTTCCCTTTGTTGATGTCCGACATTTCCAATTTTGCACAAAGAGGCACAGATACCATGCTAGGATTGTCCAAAGTTTCACCTGTTTCACTGTTTCACACGGGCCTTGCATGCAGTCGATCACCTTTTGCAACGGTGCAGCGCTTCATAGACCAAGAAGAGACCCCACTCTGCTTGCTATTTGGCACCTCTGAGTGCCAATGTGTGCCAGGCTGACCTCCCTTCGGGGGGCGGTCTTTTTGCACCTTTACTTGCAGGCTTTCGTCGATTATGGCCGCCACTTACTGATCGCCGATTGGCAGCATGCCACTGGACTTGTCAGTGCAACCGGTTGAACGGGTTGTGCCACAAGAAAGGTCTTTTCCACGGCATGCCGCATAGGTACGCCACCCCACTTGCAAGGGATGAAGTCGACGTTGAAGCATTGCGATACTCCGCATGGGGGTGTTGACCTGAATCGTGACCATGATTTTGCCGCACTGGGGGTGGCCGCTGGTCATTCATACTGTGAAGTGAGGTCTCTTTGAAGCCTTTTTGCGACCTTGCTTGAGCACATACCTGCGCCGATATGCTTTTCGTTCGTGAATTCAGGCCCCGTTCTAGACACTCTTTTTCGTCTCACCTGTTTCACCTAGCACAGTGGAAAGACTACATGATGGTGGTGACTCGGCTTTGGGCCTTTTGTTGTGGTTTTTGGGTTGTGTTTGTGGTTCTTGTTATTTTCTCCACCACCAGGCTGTTTTTCCCTCCCTTCAACGATGACCTGGGCACCATGCCCACACGGCGTCCGTACTCGTGGAAAAAAAACATGTTGCGAAAATGATCCGATTTTGTCATGCAGGGATCAACCAGTGACACGCGCATTAGATCCTGCCGTGTGCTCTTAAAGGGAGCACTACTTCGAAAACTGACTGTGCAAAGTGCCAGTTGAGGGAGCTCTTAAGCCTCTTTCTGATTGAACAAGATCATGCGTTGAAGTGCTCAGAGATGCGTGAAGTTGCTCGAGGACAAGATCTACTGAGCGCCTCGCGGAATTCGCTGCCCCTGTTTCTTCACCATGCCTACGTGGCCGTGCGAGTTGCGTGACAGGTTGCTCCTCCCCTTGTCTCCTTTGGGAGGTTGGTTTTGTTTCTTGTTCCTGTTTGTTTGTTGGCGGTTTGGGGGTTCTCTTCTTGCGGTTGTGTGCAACCTGTACAGCAACTCCTTCTTAACTCGAACTAGGTGACTTGTGCAGAACCTGCACACACAGCGCCTCGACTCGTGCAAAAAAGAGGGATGGGGGTGGCCAAGCTGAGTCTGCTCATTGCACGTGTTCCGACCTAGTTCCTTCAATCCGGCTAACTCCTCTGTGTGAGAATTTATAGTACTGAGGAGCGAAGACTCCATACCACTTGTTTAGAGAC